TCTTCAGTACGTGTGTTGTGGATGTCATGCTGTGTATAAAATAATGCGAAAATAGTCAGTTTCATTTTAGTGAGTTTGCATGTTCTCTGCGTGGACGTTGAGTGACGTTTTGCGACGTTTAACCGTTGCGGTTGCGTCAGTGTCTTCCTTCTAATACGCCGTAAATGAAAGTAACCATCCAACGACGCACGACACAGCCAAGACCCGACTTTACTCACCTGGGCCCTCGATAACCGTTTGCAACTGTGTGAAGTCCTTCAACATGATACTGAACTTTACGTTGAAAATAACGTGCTTTGGAAATGCGGTCTGTGCCGTGGTGTTGCTCAGGAGGCCCCAGATGTAGCCTGTGAGACGGCGTGCTGGAGACGCCGGTCTGTGCTGCGGCGTTGGTCAGGAGGCCCAGATGTAGCCTGTGAGATGGCGTGCTGGGGACGCCGGTCTGTGCTGCGGTGTTGCTCAGGAGGCCCCAGATATAGCCTGTGAGACGGCGTTCTGGGGACGCCGGTCTGTGCTGCGGTGTTGCTCAGGAGGCCCCAGATGTAGCCTGTGAGACGGCGTGCTGGGGACGCCGGTCTGTGCTGCGGTGTTGCTCAGGAGGCCCCAGATGTAGCCTGTGAGATGGCGTGCTGGGGACGCCGGTCTGTGCTGCGGTGTTGCTCAGGAGGCCCCAGATGTAGCCTGTGAGATGGCGTGCTGGGGACCCTGTGCCCGCCCGCTCCTTCAGCGCTGGTGCGTCGCTGTTCCAAACACCGCCGGGACGACGTAAGCAGCGCCCGTGCGGTGTTGACAGCTGGCGGGCCGGGACGCAGCGCCGGCTTCCGCCCGGTGGAGAGGCGAGCCAGCCGTCTGCCGTCCCGCCGGCGTCGGACGCCACTCTGGTGAAGGCCTCCTGTCGTTCTCTGCCGCTCTGGTGGCGGCCTCCTGTCGTTCTCTGCCGCTCTGGTGGCGGCCTCCTGTCGTTCTCTGCCGCTCTGGTGACGGCCGCCTGCCGCTCTGCCGCTTTGGTGAAGGCCTCCTGTCGTTCTCTGCCGCTCTGGTGGCGGCCTCCTGTCGTTCTCTGCCGCTCTGGTGACGGCCGCCTGCCGCTCTGCCGCTTTGGTGAAGGCCTCCTGTCGTTCTCTGCCGCTCTGGTGGCGGCCTCCTGTCGTTCTCTGCCGCTCTGGTGACGGCCGCCTGCCGCTCTCCGCCGGACCACAGTCATTGATGACGTTATAACTGTGCGGAACACAGACGCGGCCCTGTGCCCCAACCCGGGGTGTGATGCCGTGTGGGGTGGCGGTGGAGTGGCTGCCGGTCGGGCGCCGCTCGATGGTCGTTCTCGCCGCGGCTCTAGCCGGACCAGGGCCAGGCTCTCGCCGCGGCTCAGAGGCTAATGGCCGCCGTAAATCACTCGGCCCAATATACAACAGTGTTGGGCTTGGCCCCGGCGGCCAGGTCCGGGCAGACGGTCAGCCCCAGGTCAACGCACCGGCTTAACACCGGTCAAAAAGGCACAACACTGCACACATTGAACTGGGGTCTGCCGTCAAAAGGTAACAGGTCGGTATTCTATTTTGTTTCGCTTTGTTCGCGGCGTGCCAAAGTGTGTTTGGGTGGGTACGGATGTGGTCATGTATAATGCGGATAGAAACACGGGTTAGAGGACATCTGGCGCCTAACTCAACCTTTGTGCTGCTGTTGTAGTTTTCGCCCCCCAGCTCATTATACGGCAGGCAGACACGCACGCTATTCGTGTCTGTATGAATAACGATCTCTGTTGCTGCTTTGAGACGTATCCCGCAGCGCCAGAAGTTGGAAAATAGTTTTTTACGGTAGTTTCTACGTTTCTTCATTCTCCCTAGGCTTCGAGCAGTTGCATGAATTGCCCTAGGATTTATGCGTGACCTGGTTCTAGTTCGGCACCAAAACGTTGACATCAACTTCCGGCTGTAGTGCGATGTGTACCACTGGTGTGCTTATGCATCGAAACATACTAAGGAGCTGTATGGCAAGTGGGCACATCGCCGCCATCCGTATGTTGGTATCATTAACAAACTGCCAGGTAATATGCGTGAGAGACCAAGACGCTGAAGACATTGGCTTTCGCCCCACGCGCGCAGCATGTCTTCCTTTGTGATGACTGAATCCAGTCACCTCGCCGGTAACCTTTCCCTCCGGCCTTTTCTGCTGTAAAGGCCCCGAGTCCAGTGCGATGACTGAATCCAGTCACCTCGCCAGTAACCTTTCCCTCCGACCTACTCTGTTGTAAAGGCCCCGAGTCCAGTGCGGTGACAGAATCCAGTCATCTCGCCAGTAACCTTTCCCTCCGACCTACTCTGCTGTAAAGGCCCCGAGTCCAGTGTGGTGACTGAATCCAGTCATGTCGCCAGTAATCTTTCCCTCCGACCTAATCTGCTGTAAAGGCCCCGAGTCCAGTGTGGTAACTGAATCCAGTCACCTCGCCAGTAACCTTTCCCTCCGACCTACTCTGTTGTAAAGGCCCCGAGTCCAGTGCGGTGGCAGAATCCAGTCACCTCGCCAGTAACCTTTCCCTCCGACCTACTCTGTTGTAAAGGCCCCGAGTCCAGTGCGGTGACAGAATCCAGTCACCTCGCCAGTAACCTTTCCCTCCGACCTACTCTGTTGTAAAGGCCCCGAGTCCAGTGCGGTGACAGAATCCAGTCACCTCGCCAGTAACCTTTCCCTCCGACCTACTCTGTTGTAAAGGCCCCGAGTCCAGTGCGGTGACAGAATCCAGTCACCTCGCCAGTAACCTTTCCCTCCGGCCTACTCTGTTGTAAAGGCCCCGAGTCCATTGCGGTGACAGAATCCAGTCACCTCGCCAGTAACCTTTCCCTCCGACCTACTCTGTTGTAAAGGCCCCGAGTCCATTGCGGTGACAGAATCCAGTCACCTCGCCAGTAACCTTTCCCTCCGACCTAGTCTGCTGTAAAGGCCCCGAGTCCAGTGTGGTAACTGAATCCAGTCACCTCGCCAGTAATCTTTCCCTCCGACCTACTCTGTTGTAAAGGCCCCGAGTCCAGTGCGGTGACAGAATCCAGTCACCTCGCCAGTAACCTTTCCCTCCGACCTAGTCTGTTGTAAAGGCCCCGAGTCCAGTGTGGTAACTGAATCCAGTCACCTCGCCAGTAACCTTTCCCTTCGACCTAGTCTGCTGTAAAGGCCCCGAGTCCAGTGTGGTAACTGAATCCAGTCACCTCGCCAGTAACCTTTCCCTCCGACCTAGTCTGCTATAAAGGCCCCGAGTCCAGTGCGGTGACAGAATCCAGTCACCTCGCCAGTAACCTTTCCCTTCGACCTAGTCTGCTGCAAAGGCCCCGAGGACTCAGTAATAGCTCAAGAACCCCCGGCGAGCCACAGCAGGTTTGATGTTTCCGCGAACTGCGACCCCGGCTGGCAGCCCACAAAGGCTCTGACCAATTCCATCCCCTCAGTGGCGACCCGAGGGCCCGCCTGGTTTGCTGCAAGCCCCATTAATCCGCGTTAGAGTGACAGTTTCGCGCGCGTCACTGTCTGGCCCCAGCTCACGTGAGCCAATGCGCCGAAAGTGGTGCAAGGCCGGCACGTGCTGACGTCGCCCAGCGGCCGCCGACGGGTGCGTGGCGAGCGAGGGATGTGCCGGCTGTCGCCTCCCGCACGCTGGAGACTGGGACCCGTGAGGCTGGCTGTCCCGCCGCCTCCGCTGTCGGCAGGGACGGCCAGCTGAGGGAGGGTGACCAGATCCTGTCCCCCTCCCCTCTCCGTGAGGCTGACTGCCCCGCCGCCTCCGCTGTCGGCAGGGACGGCCAGCTGAGGGAGGGTGACCAGATCCTGTCCCCCTCCCCTCTCCGTGAGGCTGACTGCCCCGCCGCCTCCGCTGTCGGCAGGGACGGCCAGCTGAGGGAGGGTGACCAGATCCTGTCCCCCTCCCCTCTCCGTGAGGCTGACTGCCCCGCCGCCTCCGCTGTCGGCAGGGACGGCCAGCTGAGGGAGGGTGACCAGATCCTGTCCCCCTCCCCTCTCCGTGAGGCTGACTGCCCCGCCGCCTCCGCTGTCGGCAGGGACGGCCAGCTGAGGGAGGGTGACCAGATCCTGTCCCCCTCCCCTCTCCGTGAGGCTGACTGCCCCGCCGCCTCCGCTGTCGGCAGGGACGGCCGGCTGAGGGAGGGTGACCAGATCCTGTCCCCCTCCCCTCCCCGTGAGGCTGACTGCCCCGCCGCCTCCGCTGTCGGCAGGGACGGCCGGCTGAGGGAGGGTGACCAGATCCTGTCCCCCTCCCCTCTCCGTGAGGCTGACTGCCCCGCCGCCTCCGCTGTCGGCAGGGACGGCCGGCTGAGGGAGGGTGACCAGATCCTGTCCCCCTCCCCTCCCCGTGAGGCTGACTGCCCCGCCGCCTCCGCTGTCGGCAGGGACGGCCAGCTGAGGGAGTGTGACCAGATCCTGTCCCCCTCCCCTCTCCGTGAGACTGACTGCCCCGCCGCCTCCGCTGTCGGCAGGGACGGCCAGCTGAGGGAGTGTGACCAGATCCTGTCCCCCTCCCCTCTCCGTGAGGCTGACTGCCCCGCCGCCTCCGCTGTCGGCAGGGACGGCCGGCTGAGGGAGGGTGACCAGATCCTGTCCCCCTCCCCTCTCCGTGAGGCTGACTGCCCCGCCGCCTCCGCTGTCGGCAGGGACGGCCGGCTGAGGGAGGGTGACCAGATCCTGTCCCCCTCCCCTCCCCGTGAGGCTGACTGCCCCGCCGCCTCCGCTGTCGGCAGGGACGGCCGGCTGAGGGAGGGTGACCAGATCCTGTCCCCCTCCCCTCCCCGTGAGGCTGACTGCCCCGCCGCCTCCGCTGTCGACAGGGACGGCCGGCTGAGGGAGGGTGACCAGATCCTGTCCCCCTCCCCTCTCCGTGAGACTGACTGCCCCGCCGCCTCCGCTGTCGGCAGGGACAGCCGGCTGAGGGAGGGTGACCAGATCCTGTCCCCCTCCCCTCTCCGTGAGGCTGACTGCCCCGCCGCCTCCGCTGTCGGCAGGGACGGCCGGCTGAGGGAGGGTGACCAGATCCTGGCCATTGATGGCCAGCCGCTGGATGCCAACGTCTCGCACCCGCAGGCCATCAGCATCTTGCAGCAGGCCAGAGGTACGTCCCGGGGAGGTAGGGGTCCTGTCGGCAGGGCGTCAGTATCCCACAGCAAGCCAGGGCGGAAGTTCCGGACGTGTGTGTGTGTGGCGGGGGGGGGGGGGATGCTCCCCTGCCCTATTGAGAGCATCTCGTGGTCAGACCGTTTGTGTGTATTGCGCGGGCTCGGAATAGTCACGCACAGGTGGAGGAGCTCTTAATTGGTTCCTGCTTGAATTTTTGTTTACCTGTATCCTTTTGCCACACTGGCCATACATCCATATACGAAAATACATATTAAAGCTCCCTGCTGTGCACACAGACACACTCACATTTATGTCCCCCGGAGGAGAAAACAAAAACGGTGTTGTGTACTTATATCTTGGGCCCTGACGGCGAGAGCCAATCTCGCCCGGTATTTCTTTTAAGGTCCACTGGCGGTGTCTGACGAATTCTGTGTCTAAATTCCGTGCGTTGCTCGATGTAGCCGGCATCGATCTTCCCGGAGGAAAACACACGCCGTGCGCAATTTTCTCGAGATCGCCCACTGGTCGGGAAGGCAGTATGCGGCGATGCTCATTGATTTAGCCGTCGTTCACACAATTCTCGTGTTACACTGATGCGAAACCGGTGTCAACGCCGCACATGGTCACCCCGACACATGGTCACCCCGACACATGGTCACTCCGAGACATGATCGCCCCGACATACGGTCACGCCGACGCATGGTCACCGCGACACATGGGCACACCGACACATGGTCACCCCGACACATGGGCACCACGACATATGGTCACGCCGACACATTGTCGCGCCGACACATGGGCACACCGACACATGGTCACCCCGACACAGGGGCACCACGACATATGGTCACGCCGACACATTGTCATGCCGACACATGGGCACACCGAAATATGGTCACCTCGACATATGGTTACTCCGGGACATGATTACCCCGACATATGGTCACCCCGACACATGTCCACCCCGACACATATTCACCCCGACGCCAAGCTGCCAGTTGGTGTGCCCATCCGGGTCAGAGTCGGGCCGTCAGAAGCGTGATGTGTCGGCGCGCCTGTGCCATTGGCGTGTCTCCCGGCGACCTGGAGAGCCTGTGTTCGATTGGCGAAGGCCAGACGGCCGTGCTTCGACCGCCGCCCCGCCGACACCCCTGTCGTCCCGCCCGGAAGAGCCCCGCCCCACCGACAGCCCTGTCGTCCCGCCTGGTAGACCCCCGTCCCGCCGACAGTCCTGTCGTCCCGCCTGGTAGAGCCCCGTCCCACCGACAGCCCTGTCGTCCCGCCTGGTAGAGTCCCGTCCCACGGACAGCCCTGTCGTCCCGCCTGGTAGAGCCCCGCCCCACCGACAGCCCTGTCGTCCCGCCTGGTAGAGTCCCGTCCCACCGACAGCCCTGTCGTCCCGCCTGGTAGAGTCCCGTCCCACCGACAGCCCTGTCGTCCCGCCTGGTAGAGCCCCTTTCCGCCGACACCCCTGTGGTCCCACTCGTTGAGCCCCGCCCCGCCGACACCCCTGTCGTCCCGCTCGTTAGAGCCCCGCCCCGCGCCGCTGACGACCCCGTGTGTGTACGCGGCCGCAGGGCTGGTGAACCTGGTGGTGGCGCGGGCGCCGGAGGAGAGCCTCGACACGAGCCCACCGGCAGTGCGGCGCACCGACAGCCCTCACCAACAGGAGATGGTGGTACGTACAGGCGGCCCGAGCGCCCCCCTCCCTCGCACCGGCAGGCGCCGTGGTGCGGACGAGTTCCATCGCCGTCGCTGGCCACCGGCGCACCGAACGCCAGCAGAAGCTAGCTGCTCTTGCGCTTTCCGAATGTTGCCTGCTGTGGAATGGTAGCGTTCTGGGCTGATGTGATATTTCGGTGTTTACGTTGCGGCGCGTTGCTCTGCTCTAGTTGGTGCGCAGCTCTTCGCCACCGACTGTCAGTTGACATTGACCCCGTCGCCCCGCCAGCTGAACACGGAGTGGGCCCAGGTGGAGGTTATCGACCTGGTCAACGACGGCACCGGCCTTGGCTTCGGCATCATCGGCGGCAGGAGCACCGGTGTCGTGGTCAAGACGATCCTGCCCAGTGGCGTGGCCGATAGGGTAAGCTGGCGGGCCCGCGGCACTGCGCCTGTGATCGCGGGACCGCAGCACTGCGCCTGTGATCACGGGACCGCAGCACTGCGCCTGTGATCACGGGACCGCAGCACTGCGCCTGTGATCACGGGACCGCAGCACTGCGCCTGTGATCGCGGGACCGCAGCACTGCGCCTGTGATCACGGGACCGCAGCACTGCGCCTGTGATCGCGGGCCCACAGCACTGCGCCTGTGATCGCGGGACCGCAGCACTGCGCCTGTGATCACGGGACCGCAGCACTGCGCCTGTGATCACGGACCCTCAGCACTGCGCCTGTGATCACGGGACCGCAGCACTGCGCCTGTGATCACGGGACCGCAGCACTGCGCCTGTGATCACGGACCCTCAGCACTGCGCCTGTGATCACGGACCCGCAGCACTGCGCCTGTGATCACGGGACCGCAGCCCTGCGCCTGTGATCACGGGACCGCAGCACTGCGCCTGTGATCGCGGGCCCACAGCACTGCGCCTGTGATCGCGGGCCCGCAGATACGGCGTCAGCCGGGCTAGCGCCCATCACTTGTCCGCTAGACGCGTCAGCACGCGCGAGAGTTTTGATAATCTGCCGAGACGCCCGCCTGCCGGTAATCACTCTGCGGCGTCGTGCTGTCGCGGGACCACTGCTGACTTCCTAGCGGCCCGTCTACGATCTGTCAGTGCTTTTTGGTGGGCAGAATCCTCGACACGCTGCTAACCTTCGGGTGTCATGGGGCTGACCCGCTGCTAATCTGACCTGACCCTGCTCCGCCGCCGATCCGATCTGACCCGGACCCCGATCCACCGCTGATCCGATCTTACCCCGATCCACCGCTGATCCGATGTGACCCCGATCCACCGTTGATCCGATGTGACCCCGATTCACCGCCAATTCTATCTGACTCCAATCCACCGCTGATCCAGTCTGACGCCGATCCACCGCTTATGCGATCTGACCATGATCTGAAACTGATCCAATCTGACCCCGATCCACCGTTGACCTGAATTGACGGTGATCCACTGGTGACTCGATATAAGCTTGATCCCCCGCTGATCTGATCTGACTGATCCGTCGCTGATCTGATCTGGCTGATCCGTTGCTGATCTGATTTGACCCTTATCCGCCGCTGACCTGTCTCCCGGCCGGGTCCAGGCGATCTTGCCTGCTGTCTGCAGGGGATATCGGCTGCCGTTCCGATGGCTGTCAATTGTCTGTACGCTGACCCCCATGCTGAGACCCCATGCTGACCACGTGCTGACTTCGCTTCCGTTTGCCGCCAGGATGGCCGGCTGCAGAGCGGGGACCACATCCTGCAGATCGGAGAGCACAATCTGCGTGGCATGGAGTCGGTCCAGGTCAGGGCCAGACAGCGGCTCGGGCAGATCGTACACGAGCCGGGGATCAGGACCAGACAGCGGCCCGGCCGCTCCGGGCAGATCGTACACGAGCTGGGGGTCAGGGTCAGACAGCGGCCCGGCCGCTCCGGGCAGATCGTACACGGGCTGGGGGTCAGGACCAGACAGCGGCCCGGCCGCTCCGGGCAGATCGTACACGGGCTGGGGTCAGGGCCAGACAGCGGCCCGGCCGCTCCGGGCAGATCGTACACGGGCTGGGGGTCAGGGCCAGACAGCGGCCCGGCCGCTCCGGGTAGATCGTACACGAGCTGGGGGTCAGGGTCAGACAGCGGTCCGGCTGCTCCGGGCAGGTCGTACGCAGGCTGGGCACGTCCGCTATAAACTGACTGACGTTTGTGTTGACACGCTCTTTGGATAGTATGACGCAACTGCTTGATTCCGAGTACTCACAAAAATAAGAACACTTTTTAAGAACGCATTTTGGGAATCCTGCGCAACTGATTCGTTTCCACAGTTATCAAGCAGTCGTGGATCACGAACCCGCCTCTGACTTCCGCCACTCTATCCCAGTAGCATCCTATCTCAATTAGACATCGCCGGTGTGTAACCGTTCTTGCTGTATTTGTCTGGCCGTTCCGCGGCGACCGCGCACACTGACAGTTGATGGTGTTGCCGACAGGTGGCGCAGGTGTTGCGCACCGCCGGCACGCAGGTGCGCCTGATCGTGGCCCGCTCGGTGGAGACGAGCAGCCCTGAGTTCCAGGTGGCCGTGAGTATGGCGTCGCTACTGTCATGCGCTTGCACTGGCCGGCGCCACGTCTGGGCATTGGCTGACTTGGCTGGGGTTGGCTCGTTTGCTACCTGCTTTTATCTACATAGCACATAATGGCCTGTCATTAATCCGAGCTGTTCGCGGTAAGTCACGGTTATTCTTGGCCAGGAACATGACCTGAAATTCATTGTTCAGGGGTTGCAAATGGCATGCTCGAGACACCTGTGCCTATTGAACATTGCACAGCATTCAGGGTGCCCTATATACCTCAGTCAGTGGCCTTTTGCCGGCAGAACTCGCTAATCACGCGGGCACCAATTCTACCGACGCGGCTTCTGGCCGACCCTGACGAACTGGACCACCAGCTGCACCTGCTGCAGGTAACAGCAGCCACGCGAACAGTCCACAAACCATCCCGCAAGAACTAAGTTATGACACCGTATTGGACAGTTGGCCGTTTGACTTGCGCAAAGCTCAAGGCGTAATGCGACAGTAAACATTGTCGTATTCACACTGGCTCCGATTTCTGTACTGGATCATCTTAAAGTCAGCTTACTCACGCCTGACAGAGTGCTCATCTGCGTCACTATCCATAACCTTGCATACTCATGTTGCACACTCGTCCAATCGCAGAACCACCTTGCTGCAAGGAACGCTTGCAGATTAGTGATAAGCACAGCCATCCTGCTCGTGCTGAGCCTAGCGCTGTGTGGCGCGTGCCTGACGGCGGCACGGCGTGCGGACAGGCGGGCTTGCCTGAGCCGCTGCCGGCTGACCTGGCGGCGGAGCAGGCCGGCCTGGTGAACGGCCTGCTGCTGCCGGACTGCGCCGACGGGGTGGTGCCGCGCGGCCTCGGTTCGCCCGGCCAGGTGAGAGGCCGCCCGCTGGGCTGGACCGGCAGCTCACAGGTGGCAGACGGATGGTCTCAGAGCTCGGGACTTGACAAAGGTGGGATGGATTCCGCTGTAGTCACGGTTTCACTGGTTTCACTTATTTGGACCCCCATAATGAATGAACGGCACCGCGCAGGTTGCCGTCATGCTGATGTTTTCTACTTGTGCGTTACTTTTGTATTGGGTATGACTCAACGCACTCGCGAGCTCTGCCGTTGGTACCTCAGTGGCTCGGCCCGGGCGGCTGGCGCAGCGCCGGCCGTCCCGTCACGTCCCTGTCGTCCACATCGTCCACGTGCCGTCACACGGAGCAGCAGACACCCCGTGAGCAGCACACGGCCTGTGTCGCAGCTGAGTCCGTCCGGCTCGCTGGGCGGTCCGGCCCGCTCGCCGTCGCCGCTCCGTCTGCTGGCCGACACGGAGACGTGCGAAGTGGAGCTGGTGAAGGACGCCGCCGGCCTGGGCGTCACCATCGCCGGCTACGTCTGCGAACGCGAGGAGCTGAGCGGCATCTTCATCAAGTCGGTGAACCCGGGCAGCGCGGCGGACCTCAGCGGCCGCATCGCCGTCAACGACCAGATCATCGAGGTGGGCACCCGGCGGCCGCTGCCACCACCACCTGGACTTTCCTCAAGATACAGGGACTGGCGGATCGAAGGGAACGTTGCAGTGTTGACGGGTTGGTTTGGGGCCGAGAAAGTGGAGCTCTGTAGACCAGAAAGTTTTAATATAGGTCGCATTGAGTTGAATTCACCAAAGGTGTCCTCAGATGGTTTTCCTGCCGAGCTTGTTGAAAATTCAAAGCATCGTGACATTTGCCACTTGACCGTGACATCGATGTCAATTTCTGTGTAAATAACGTTCTTGAAGTAACCACGGAGCTGGATATTGCGGCTGCTACCGTTAGTTGCCTAATGCTTTTGCATGCTAACGAATTAGTGCGAAGAGAAACATCCATTTACATTTTCGTCTATGCATAGCATCCATCCGTATCAACACCGAGTGGTTTCCCAATGTAACGCCATGCTTTCCATCTTAAACAATCGTTTCGGATGTCTCTTCCAAGCTACTGACTGTGACTGCCCCCATGCACCACGCTCCTGCCCTACCCCCCCCCCCCCCCTCCCCCGCCCCCGCCAGCGCACACGACGACGCGGTGGCCGAAGCGCCCCACCGATCGTCGCCTGAATTATGGACGGTGTGCGGACGGCGGCGAGCCGGCCCGCCGTCAGCGGTACATCGCGTGGCGGGTCACCGGACGGCGGCGAGCCGGCCCGCCGTCAGTGGTACATCGCGTAGCGGGTCACCGGACGGCGGCGAGCCGGCCCGCCGTCAGCGGTACATCGCGTGGCGGGTCACCGGACGGCGGCGAGCCGGCCCGCCGTCAGCGGTACATCGCGTGGCGGGTCACCGGACGGCGGCGAGCCGGCCCGCCGTCAGCGGTACATCGCGTGGCGGGTCACCGGACGGCGGCGAGCCGGCCCGCCGTCAGCGATACATCGCGTGGCGGGCTACCGGACGGCGCGCGCGGCCCGACCCCACCGCCGGCGGCTGGCCGGTCGCACCACTGGGCCGAGCCTGACACGGGCACCGGTTCAGGGCGAAGCGCCGCTCTGCCGGCGTTCATGACTGATGTGCCGCTGCGTAATGGCGCGCAGGAGTCGGCGGCCCGTTATTACTGGGTCCGACCGCGGCAGATACGACCGGCCGTCACGAGGCATGGCTCGCTTTCGTGGTCGGCTGTTGGAGCTTCCTGGAATGGAGTGCTGCGTGCCGTGACATTCAGCGAATGATGCCTCTTTCAGGTGGATAACGTGCCGCTGAAGGGATATACGAATCACGAGGCCGTGGAGCTTCTGAAAAACACTGCACAGGTGAGAGGCAGATAAATGTGCGCAACGTCCCCACCTGAGGCAGGAACCGAGGGAATCTGAGGACGCATTTTGAGAAACGCCGTGTCAAGTCACTTAATAAGAAGTAGTCGCGGAGGCACTGAGTCAATAGTCAGTCAACCACGGAGAATTTGCCATACCGCATTCCATTTTTAGTTCAGTTGTGCAAATAGTACACTACAGGGATACATTTTCAAGCGGCTCGCCAGCACCCGGGAAAACTGACGGGGTCGAGGGGACCCCGGGGCCATCGGGTCATCGGGGCTCGGCCGGCTGGGCACGCTGTGGGAACGACCGCCCTGCGCACGGCCTGTGGGCACTGGGTCCAGCGCTGCGCGTGTCCGCGTGTGGGCGTGCCCTCGTGTGTGCACGTGCACGCGTGACTGACGAGTGGGTGGTGCCGCGCTGACCAGCCGCTGCGCCCGGCCGCCGCCAGGTGGTGCGGCTGAAGCTGGCGCGCTACGTCAGCGGCCCCAAGTACGACCAGCTAAAGCAGGCCATCGCCAGGACGGAGACGAGCACGGCGAGCGAGCTGGCCGGCCGCGGCGCGGCGCGCGGACAGCAGGTGGGCCGCCGCCAAGCCGCCCGGCTGGTGCAGGGTTGCTGTTACCGGCAGTGGGGGTCGCCGGAGATGGGCAGCCGCTGGTGCACAGTGCAGAATAGACGGGTTGTGCTCGGCCCATTATCGTGTTTTTGCTCTCGTTCAGCTCTCACGCAGGCTGGAGGGTCTTGTTTGGTAGGGATATGATACCAGGGTCCTGTCTGCTGTCTCGTTTGCGGCTGTTGGACCAGACGTCAGTTGTTTGGTCTTATCTGTATTTACTTGCCAACGGACGGGGTATGGGTCGCGGCTGTGTCGTGGAGCTGGTGACCAGTACCGCGGCTGTGTCCGGGTCTGCCTGGTGTAACGGCCGTGGTCTGTGTGCCGCAGTCCTGGTCTCCGTCCGGCGCGGACGGCTCGGCGGCGGAGGCCAGCGCCGGGGGCTCGGGTGACGCGACCCACTGGCAGGCCGGCGACGGCCAGGTGAGGCCGGGAGCACCGCGCCGCCGGTCAGACGGACGGACCGCGCCGCCGGTCAGACGGGCGGACCGCGCCGCCGGTCAGACGGGTGGACCGCGCCGCCGGTCAGACGGACGGACCGCGCCGCCGGTCAGACGGGCGGACCGCGCCGCCGGTCAGACGGGCGGACCGCGCCGCCGGTCAGACGGGCGGACCGCGCCGCCGGTCAGACGGGCGGACCGCGCCGCCGGTCAGACGGACGGACCGCGCCGCCGGTCAGACGGGCGGACCGCGCCGCCGGTCAGACGGGCGGACCGCGCCGCCGGTCAGAAGGACGGACCGCGCCGCCGGACACAGCAGACACACAGCCCAGGCGGCCAGACGGCCGTCCCTTGATGGCGCTCCGGTCAGGCAGCACGCGCGCTCTCATTGAGATGGCTGGACCGTAGGCAAAGTCCCTCGCCGTCTGGACAGCGCCGCTGCTGATCAGCCACTTTTGTGGGGCGCGTGACAAGCGTGGGCAGCGCGGTCGGCCCGGGCACGGGTATTGATGCGCTCTTGGCTCGGCACCTGACTTTGGGGTGTTATGAGGTCTGCTGCGCTGCGGCAGTGAGTCATGTGGTCTCCTCCCCGAGGAGTGGGCTATGTTTGACCTCCAGCCTTTCGCGGCGCTGGGTCTGCCAGCCTCCCAGCAGGGTTTGGCCGTGGGCCTCTGGGTCACGTGATATGTGGCCGTGCAATTTGGCTACTCGCCCAGCTGGATTTATTTTATATGATCGTTTTTGTTAAGCGGTATTCTTGAAAAAGGAGTGCAATTTATAACTAAAACGAAAAATTGTGACTTGGAGCGCCCGAGGTCATCTCATTCAATGTCACTGTGCGAGGCGTTTGACAAGACGTTTTGTCCAACGTCATGGGTGTAACTCATCTTGTGTATTATTTTCTAGTCGGTTGATGTTCTGCATGCTGGGTGACAGGATATTTTATTTGTGACCGTTTTGGGGGATCAAAGGGAAGCATGTGAAGCTCGAAGGAAACCGAAGTCACAGCAGTCTTGTATGTACTTTGTTACACACACATAATGTTAATAATGACAAATCAGAACCAAGTCTGAATTTCAAACGCGTGATGAGGGGCTACTCATGACTTTGACACAATGACAATATGCGTTGTAGCTGGAGTTTAGAGTTGCTTCGAAAACATCCGATATTAGCTCGTGTTGATTTTCGGTCGGACCGTTGATGTTCACGGGGTGGGGGGAAGGGGGGGGGGGACGGCCAGCGGCATCAGCGTGACTGACGGGGTGGGACTCCGGCAGGCGCCCGCCCAGTCCGGCTCCGAGGGCGCGGGCCCGCTGCCGGCCGACCTGGAGCAGGCCATCTGTCGGCGCTGGACCGACTTCCTCGGAGACGGCTACGACATTGTGGTGAGACGTCTGGCGACGGGCCCGCGCCCACACCGGCAGCGGATCGCCATTGTTTGTACGAGAGGCCCACCTGCACCAGTGCCATGGGATTGGACGCTTCGCTGCTAAAGCGCTGGCGTTCGCGCGGGTGTCGTGTGTCATGTGCTATTGGTATTCAGTGTTTTCGTGAGAGCCGGATGGAGTGACTGCAGGTTGGTTGCTATGCTGCTGTAGCTGCTGCTGTGCGTTATGGGAGCCGGTTGGTCGTGTGATCGGTCCATCGGCCCCCTTGTGTGATCGGTCCGTCGACTCTGGTCGCGGGGTGCCTGTCACCCGTGCTGTGCACCTGACCCGGGCCGCCCCGCCAGGTGGCGCAGATCAGCAAGTTCCAACCGGGCGGCGGCCTGGGCCTCAGCCTGGAGGGCACCGTCGACGTTGAGGACGGGCACGAGGTGCGGCCGCGCCACTACATCCGTTCCATCCTGGCGGACGGGCCGGTGGGCCGCAGCGGCAGGCTCCGCAGCGGCGACGAGCTGCTCGAGGTGGGCGCTGGCGGGATGCACGCCCTGGCCGCGGCGTCACACTGGCCGCGGTAGCGCCTTGGACGCCAGTCGGGGGTGCTCGTTACATAGGCCGCCAGTGGGGATTACATTATACATTTTTACATCCCCATGTTCATAATTCTATACGCATCCACGTCGCGTGTTTTCGGTAAGATATGGGCAACTCATGCCTATTTTATTTGGCTCTGTATGGCTATTGGTAAAACGCCGATCTACGGAGCGTCACCGGCTATTTGTATCCATCATTGACCTGAGCATGGCATGTTGTTAGACTTTCTGTTACGTCGCATACGCGTGCATAGCGCCATCCCAAGAAGAGCGCGGATTGTAGTTGGCTGTGTGAAGCCGGCCCCCGTCTCGGCACCGGCTGCTGCGCTGGTGTCCGCGGTCCCGGTAGGTACCGCCGCTCGGTGTTACTGATGTAGAGGCCAGCACAGGCCGGGAGCTGACGGAAAGCTGCCGTAGAGCTTTGCGGCTTTTTGTGTTGAACATATTGCAAGGGTCCGACCTTTGGTCATGTTTCCTCGATCAGGTCACGCTGTAGACACGTGGTTGCAGGATGAGCATCTCCGCCTAGCCTGTGCCGCCACTCCACCTCGCGCGTGCTGACGAGGCGCGGCGCTATGGCTGCAGGTGAATGGCCGGCCGCTGCTCAGTATGAACCACATCGAGGTGGTGAACGTGCTGAAGGAGCTGCCGACGGACGTGCGGCTGGTGTGCGCACGCAGCTGGGACCCGCCGCCTGCCGAGGCGGACGAGCTGGGACCGACGCCGCTCGGTCGACCGTCGGCCATTGTGAGTGGCGCTGGCAGCAGCGCCGGCTGACGGCGACCACACGTGCCGCGCGCCGCCGGCCAGCCGGGGGGGGGGGGGGGGGGGGCGACCTCGTGACTGGCATAAGTTGGGTCGGACAGGGTAAAGGTGCAACCGGCTTTAGCACGTGGCTGTACTCGTCAAGGGCAGGAGCGGAGCGTGTATCGTCCAGATGGCTGACCTATCATTGCTGGAGTCTACGCTGCGCAGCGGCGGTTGGCGTTGGCTTGCGTGCCAGTTTGTTTCGCGTGACGTCGCGCGGCAGACGTAACGGCCGCGGCGCCGGGCACGGCTGCCATCGTCGGTGAGTCGGGCGGCCGACGCTGACCGACGCTGCCGCTGCCGCTGCAGGGTCGGCTGGCCGGCCTCTCCGAGCTGGGACTGGGCCCAGACCGGCTGCTCAAGGCCAAGTCGGACAGCTCACTGGCCTCCAGCGGCACGTCTGTGACGGACACAAGCCTGTCTCGGCTGCGCTCGCGCAGCATGGAGCCGCTCTCCGGACTGGCCATGTGGTCCAGTCAGCCGCTGGTCGTCACGCTGGAGAAGGGCGAGCGCGGCCTGGGCTTCTCCATTCTTGACTACCAGGTGACGGTGCGGCGCGGGTCGGCCGGCGGCTGCTCGGAGATGCGGCGCCCCGTCCTCTGGCGCTGCTGGTGAGAGGCGAGCGGGTCGGTTGGTTCGGCTTCAGATGGCTGGCTGATGGGCCAGGTAGCGCCGACTTCACTGGCCGTGGCCCAACTGACCGGGCTGGGGTCATGGTCTGGCCTGATCGTGATCAGGCCTCTGTTGCGCCTCCTGCTCGGCCGTCTGACCGCAATGTGACCTGGCCGGAGCCCGGTCTCGCTCGCTGCTGACCGACCGACCGTCCTGCCGCGCTGTCGTGCCAGCGGGGCCGGATCAATCCGAACGAGACTGTGATTCTGACCTAACCTGATCCACTGCCGCAGGACCCGATGAACCCGAACGAGACGGTGATAGTGATCCGGTCGCTGGTGCCGGGCGGCGCCGCCCAGCTGGACGGCCGCCTCATCCCCGGCGACCGGCTCATGTCCGTTAACGACGTGCGGCTGGAGAACGCCTCACTGGACCAGGCGGTGCAGGCGCTGAAGGGCGCGCCGGCCGGGCCCGTGCGTCTGGGCGTGGCCAAGCCGCTGCCGCTGGCCGCCGACGCCGGCAGCAGCCAGGTGAGTGCCGGCACCCAGCTGGGCCGTCACGTGCTCAAGGCGGAGAGCTTCTGAACCAGCCGGCAGCCGCGGCACGGCTCCGGACGACGAGCAGCGGAGGCGGCCGCCGCGCCCGGCCCACGGCGCCCCGTGACCACCAGTCTGCTGTGCTTTAATTTGGGCGTGAATACTGGAGACTAGTCATGCAGATCTTGTCGCTCAAGAAGGATCATTCGAGTGCCTAGTAATCGTAGTGTGAGTATGTTATTTTTAACAGGCTTTGATATTCCGAGCGCTCGGTTTGACTTGTGTGAGGTAGAAGGTCGTTATTGATCGTGTTATTGTTACGGTTGATATGATATTGAGTGTGATTTGCGTGGCCGACTTCTCTGCGGCTTTTCTACCGCGTTTAACCCGCTCAGGTGTGTACAACTAACTGGCGTATGGCTCCGCTCAGCGCCGGAGCCGGCCGGTCGGGTTTGACGATGACCCGGCGCGCATAGTCTGGTCCGGCGTGCCCACCACCGGGCGCGCCGTGTAGAGCATAACCACGGAACTAACCCGGTGTGAGCGTGACCTCCAGCACAGCGGCACCTGCCGACTATCTGGCGAAGGGGCTGGCGACTTTCTCGCACCGTTTTCCACACCGCGGTCACCCCTGAGCACGGGACACCGCGTGTACAGCTACGCGTCTCTTCACGCACCACTGAGCTCACGCACATTCGGTGGCTCGGAGGCCCTTACCACTCTCACTGGCTAGCGAGGTTTGCGGGAACCCGGTCTTAGCCCCCCCCCCCCCCCCCACTGCATGGACAAGCAGACGTGCATACGCCTGAGTGTGAGCATGCGCACGATGGCCTGTCCGGCTTGTCTCCGAGCCGAGCTCTCCGTCCAGGCAGCCCCCTGTCTCCCTGCTGCTGAGGCCTGCTCGCGCCCTTCGCATGGAAGCCTGCGTGTCTGTCTACCCACACCACCCGCTCGCGGCCTTAGATCGCCTGTTTCGACTAGTCATGTACCCGAGCATAACAAACGCGCTAGAGCCGGCGTGCCATTGTTGACTGAGTGGGCCGGTCGGCGGCTGCCTCGCTCCGTTGGGGTTGGCCGGTCGGCCGGCTCGTGGTCTGGCAGGGCGCGCGGAGGCGACCGCCAGTTCTGTGGGCTGCGCTCCTCGTTACCGATGGGCATGTTTCCGTACGCTGTGGTGTGCACGGCGGCCTGGTGCGCGCTGCGCTCCGTGTGATGCGTGTCAGACTTAAATAAACAAACCGAGTTTTAGACGCAACGGGTGACGCGTTTGCGAATCCGAGCCAGTGGTCTTGTGCTGAGAGACGAACGGCTTGTACGTTGACCCCGCGAGTCGTTTGATCTCGCCGCATGGTCCGACACACGAGTCCGCACGGTGAGTGCCGCAGTCAGTGAGCTTGATCTGCACAGCTGAGCAGGAGTGGACAGGGGTGGGGGTCCAGTGGCAGCATCAGCGGGCACTCTCTGGCTGGGCAGGAGTGAACCGGTGGGGGTTCAGTAGCAGCGTCAGCGGGCAGTCTCTGGCTGGGCAGGAGTGGACAGGTGGGGGTTCAGTAACAGCGTCAGCGGGCAGTCTGGCTGGGCAGGAGTGGACAGGTGGGGGTCCACTAGCAGCGTCAGCGGACAGTCTCTGGCTGGGCAGGAGTGGACAGGTGGGGGTTCAGTGGCAGCGTCAGCGGGCAGTCTCTGGCTGGGCAGGAGTGGACAGGTGGGGGTCCACTAGCAGCGTCAGCGAACAGTCTCTGGCTGGGCAGGAGTGGACAGGTGGGGGTTCACTGGCAGCGTCAGCGGGCAGTCTCTGGCTGGGCAGGAGTGGACAGGTGGGGGTCCACTAGCAGCGTCAGCGGGCAGTCTCTGGCTGGACAGGAGTGGACAGGTAGGGGTCCACTAGCAGCGTCAGCGGGCAGTCTCTGGCTGGGCAGGAGTGGACAGGGGTGGGGGTTCAGTGGCAGCATCAGCGGGCACTCTCTGGCTGGGCAGGAGTGGACCGGTGGGGGTTCAGTAGCAGCGTCAGCGGGCAGTCTCTGGCTGGGCAGGAGTGGACAGGCGGGGGTTCAGTAGCAGCGTCAGCGGGCAGTCTGATTCTGCGTCCCGGCGCATCTTATCAGCGCCAGAACAGCGGAGGAAGATTAAGGACGAGAAAGACAGCACGTGTGCCCGCTTATGCATGTTAGGATCACGGCGATTAAGTATGAGCCGGTATTTGCGGTACGCTAAGTTATGTTGCTCATACGCTGTCATGCGCACGGTGGTGGATGATGACTTCGCTGGTTCAAGGCGCACCATTCAACTCAGTCTGAACAACGGCAGCAAAAAGTAAGGGCATACCAACGCTTGGATTGCGGCATTGCCTGTTATAGTTGTCGCATGGCCCTGTCATGTAAACACTGATCTAGTCCCATTTCACCTGCGAATACACGGGACGAAAAAAACGACTCATGGAGTGAAAATTAGTATTTCGGATTAAATTGCTCTTAACGGAATCCATTATGTCAGTATTAACGCTGCACGTTCTCTGTGGGAGGGGGGGGGGGGGGGGGGGCGGGGGAAGGGAATCACAGTGATGCTCAACAGTATAATCGTATTCAATAGCAAATTTAGATTCAATGAATCATTTCCCGCTTCATGAGTGATGCCGAGTTTTCTAGCGATAGTTTTGGAACCGTTTCAGACAAAGTGGGGAAACATGAATGTTTTCAAGCAACATTTGTAACATGTACGCACCCATTTCTTGACAGGGTGTTCATCAGTGGCGACAGTAGCAGCCGGTATATGGGGCTATCCTCCGATAATGCGGATTTTTGTAAGCTGGTACCCAAGTGAAAATGATTGCACCCTCCAAGGCTTGCGTGAAGTGGTGCATGCAGGTCATGATTAGTGTAGGTGATGCCTTATTTTTGTCTTCGTTAGTGTCCTGACTCCAAAAGTAGTTTTTAGAGGATCATACATCTTGAAAACATGAAGCACTAAGACCTAAACAAATTTCAAAAAGTAAATTTTTCACGCTTTCGTCAAAAAAATGTTGCGCCATGAAGATGCATCAAAGTTGTTGCGCCATGAAAATGTATCAAAGATTGTTTTCTGATTACCGGCGTGCATCGTACCCTGCTCAGGGCAGCTGGAGGCACGGTGTCATAGATAAGGTCTTGCGTCTTCTACGACTTAACAGGTCGTTTCGACCACGAAAATTCCTTCGAAATCACTTGCTAGCCTATCCGCGTTCTACCGTTTGAGATCTCGGGAACAGGTGGCGAGCTGCGACTCCTGGAACACCAACACGGACGGCCCACATAGCTTCACGTGCCGACAGCCGCGCAGGGCTCATTGGCGCTACGGCCGACCAGTCCGCTGTCCTAACGAAGCCTTTGAGGGCTCGTGGTCTAGGACGTGTCAGTACATGGGAGGGTGGTTACCACTGACTGTGGGAGACTCGCGTCTGTGCTGCCAGGCCTGAAGTAAAGGGGCCTGGCTGCGGCACACGCGACGTCATCGGGCAGCGGCGCTCGGGCCGCTCACACCACCGCCCGCCTACCTGTCCCGGCAGGGCTGCACGTCGGCGTCACAGTCGGACGTAGACGAAGTGGAGGCCGACTCGTCTGGGAGCGGCGGCTCCCAGCCCCAGCCGCGGGCTCCCGCCACCCGGGTAACTACCGACAGCGCACACCAGTGACGGCGTCGACAGCCGGACCCCTGACAGTTGAGCTCCTGACAGCCGGGCTGCTGACAGCTGGACCTCTGTCAGCAAGACTCCTGGCAGCTGGGCTCACAGCGTCGACAGCCGGACCCCTGACGGTTGAGCTCCTGACAGCCGGGCTTGTGACAGCTGGGCTCCTGACAGCATCGACAGCCGGATACCTGACAGCTGGGCTCCTGACAGCCGGACTCCTGACAGCTGGGCTCCTGACAGCCGGGCTCCTGACAGTTGAGCTCCCGACAGCCGGGTTGTGACAGCTGGGCTCCTGACAGCGTCGACAGCCGGATACCTGACAGCTAGACTCCTGACAGCCGAGCTCCTGACAGCTGGGCTCCTGACAGTTGAGCTCCTGACAGCCGGGCTTGTGACAGCTGGGCTCCTGACAGTTGAGCTCCTGACAGCCGGGCTTGTGACAGCTGGGCTCCTGACAGCGTCGACAGCCGGATGCCTGACAGCTGGGCTCCTGACAGCCGGACTCCTGACAGCTGGGCTCCTGACAGCCGGACTCCTGACGGCTGGGCTCCTGACAGCCGGCCTCCTGACAGCTGGGCTATTGACAGCGTCGACAGCCGGACCCATGACAGCCGGACCGCGGACAGTCGGACCCCTGACAGCTGAGCAGCGCAAACGACCGGACGCATCACGCAGACCAGAAAAGCAGCACTGCATGATAAGTCCAATCGTTCGCTTTGTGCCATCTTGCCAAGGCAAGCATCTCAACTTCGGAGAGCGCAGACAGCTGGCCTTCTCAAAGTTCGAACAGCGGAAGTCCTGACACAGAACAAACGGATTCTTGACAAGTGTGCGCGGCCCGGATCTTGAGCTGACGCAGACGAGCTGACTTTGGCACAGCGCACGTCGGGCCTGATTTCTGACAGGCGTGTGCCGCCCAGATGTTGATACAGTACGGACGGCCAGACGCTTGACACAGCATGCATCAGATATCAGGCCCACCAGACGCGCACGGGTCGATTCTGGTGCCGACTGCGCCACCGGCTAATTATACTGAATCGATCGGCACGAGCGGCCATTGATGTCTTGTCGTCGGATGTGGTCGTTTGATGACACGGCCACGCCCCTGCTGTACGTGGGCGTGACGCTCCTTGTGACCAGCACGTGACGGCCCCGCCCGGGCGAGGTTCACGGACGTGCGCCAGCTGGAATTTCGTTGCCAGAGCCCAGGGGTCGCGCTGGATTACCTGCATGGATTGTTGCAAATGCCCTCGTCGTGAGGTGGTTTTCCTTCTGGCAGAAGTCGTTTGGGTCAGATAGACCGTGACTTGTTCCAAAGCACTCCTGGCGAATCGGTCGCGACTGAAAACAAGCGCCGAGGCGACCAACTCCCACGTTTTCATGTGCTTCAGCACGCTGTGAATGCGCTCAGCGCTCGCCAAGGTAACTTTAACTCCGTGATACCACGATCTGGCGTCACGTGCCATATATTGTTCGATTAAGGGGATTTTGTGAATCTCACCACTTTCTAAGTGTGGGCCGTGCTGTGGCTGAGGTTATGACCTGGCCGCCGGTGATATCTGCAGGATGAGCCGGTGTTGCTGGCTGGCCAACAGGAGCGACTACTGCTCTTCAAGACAGGCACCGTGCCGCCGCCGCCGCCGGCTGCACCCCAGCGCTCTGGCTCCGGGGACAGCGGCCGATGGCACTGGCGCAGTGGCGTCCCCACGCGGCAGGGTGTCAAATTGTCGACACACGCAGGGCTCCGGCGAAGCCCCCCTTGCCCGCTCCAAGGTGATAATTGTTGGGGCTTTGTATCTCACTGACAGTCAAGGCCATTGTGTGAGGGTTGCTGTCATTAGGCAACATTTGGGATGCGGTGATGGCGTGGTGAGGATCGAACTCAGACCGACGAAGTCAAAGTCGAGCGCTCTTACCACTTCCCGACCACCACTCCTCAGCTGCACGGTGATGGGTGACCTTGACAGAGGCGCAGAAATGCATCGCGGCCTGGGACTTGCGAAAACTGACAGGGGAAGGGAGATTATGTTCTCGTGGAACGGGGCGATCGCCAAGAACGATGCCGATGTCGGGGAGCGCCGCAGTGAAGGCTGAGCCCAGCGAACGCTACAGCCATGGGTGGAAAATACGGCATGACTTGTGGAGGCGGTCACACAAACCCTCTTCAAACTCGGCATAATGCCAGCATTTCTCCATCTTATGCTCGGACGGGTGGCCTGGCCATGCCAACTTTTCCCAGACTCTTCCACAACCAGCTAAGGTTTGCTGTTTTTTTGTTTTGTTGCAGGGACTTCATTTCTGCAATATGCAGGATATCAGATTTTAGCTGAGATGGGAGCGCCCTCAGTGAATTAATTTTAAACATGTGGGAAGGCGCAAACCCGAAAGCAGACAACTCCACATAACTAACGAGAAAGAGCCAGAGAAAGCCAGATCGGTCCGGGGAACTCGGAAGAATTACGCCAGCCGGGATCTTAAAAGGCTTTTTAATGTCACCTGGCCGTAGATAAAACTTGTCCTTTGATCCTGCGGTGTGTGCACTGAGAGGAAGACCCCAACTGGCACCTCTTTGTTCGCCTCTCAGACCTG